CAGTAAAAGGATATATAGTTACATTTTTGATTTACTACAATGCTTTATTATATATACATTATGTCACTTATTTCACTGTTTTAAAAATCGAGCAAACCAGTCACGCCAACTTCAACCGTTGCCAATTTTTCATTAACATTTTCAAGTATTGCTACTCAAATATTTATGGAAGATACTTTTGGGAATATATGGCAAGAACATTTGCATTTTTGGGAGTATTCAAAAATGAGTCCACAGGGTAGAAATATCTTGCCAAAGCGTTAACCTTTTTTTGCAATTCATTCGATTACAACATTTTTGTACGACCTTGCATTTCAAATCATTTCTTTGTTATTTAAATTGTTGAGCACACAAAAATCTTCGGAATAAAATATAGAGTTTCAAAACGTGTTGGTACGCACACGCAGAATTGCCTCGTATCACTCATGTCGGATGCAATGCGATTCATCAATGAACTTAAACCCTATAGATTTCCAATACCATAATTTCCACTTCCTGTCCTGAACCTGTATGATTACTAAATGACATACAAACTAAATATAAATCAGTTTTCTAATGAAAATGTCTGATTAAATAATAAATGAATCAATGTTAACATTAATGCTACAGAAACAGAATATAAGAGGAAAGCACTGTATTTTTTTCTGATCATTGTCTTTAACGCGTTAATTTAAACAAAATGATTTGCAAAACGCGCTGATATTGTTAAACTCATTCAGTATTGACGCCGATTGTGTAGATAGGCATTGTAGATAGTCAAGTCCACTAGCGGTAAAAGAAATGGTGCTTTGTTCACGTGGCAAACGAAGTTGATGAATTAGATATAAGGCATTGACAGAACCGTGTTACCTTTAAAGCAAATCATGAATATGACATATTATGTTATGGATTATTTATGAAAATCGTTGAAAGAGACAATGTTTAATCAATTTCTATATTTTCTTGTCAATGTTATCATTTTAATATTGCAATTGATTAAGCAATTAATTCATTATGAACATGATAGGGGAAAAGGACAACAAGAGCAGAGTTAGCCATTTACAGCAAATAGTTGATAAAGAAAACATCTTTCTTCAATTTTGAGGAAAGACCTCTCTCGTAAAAAAAGATCTGTGATGACTAAGTTCCCGAGGTTTGGTTCAATCATTTTTAGAAAACAAAAACAGCTAAAAAAAACACCTTTCAATCATCAAATTTGCCCGGAAATTATTAACAATTTGATATCGAAGGACCCACAGGTTAGCGGCGTGGGACCAAGCATTTACTGATAATAATAAACTTCATAGTTCATAGTATCTGGAATATATTTTTGTTAGAATTGTCTGATTTTGTATTGACATATTTTGAAGGGGTTATAGTATATCTGCGTAGTACAGAGTGTCCTGGGGTGGTACCTTGGTTGTAGTGCTTGGTCCCACGCCGATAATCTGTTGAAGGACCATGTTATTCAATGGATTCTTATAAAACATAAAATTCTTTTGGGCAATGAAAACACGAATATCATTTTTCATTTCTTTCTTATGGCCAGTTGTTGCGTTGTTTTCTAAATTGCTCTTATCTGTCATGCGGTCAACTCGACTTAAATAGTCAAAACTATGACAGACATTTAACAATCTAGTTATGGCATGCGACACACAATTTCTAACCAGCAAAAAAACTACCCATTAACGTCAAGGAAACGAATATGGGTTTCAGGTCAAAATGACATTTCAATCTTAGGTAGCATAAGCATGTCCACATTTGGGAAAATTATGAAAATTAAAAGTAATAAATCAATTGCCGATTGTTAGAGGTCAGGTTGTCACCCAGGGGCACGGGATACTCGAGCATCTTGCGGTCATTATGATTTATGGCGGCGTAGATTTAGACAAAATATCTAGTCTTATCACTATTTCTTATATCGGTTGAACATTATAAATTTTGTATTATCAAAGAGACGGACATTGTAAATCTAGTTTGAACACAATGTTTATTAGACGGTAGTTAAAATTTCACACGGAGGCCCCCAGGGCGGGGAATCTTATTGTACGTAAAGATAGCGGCGGCGTTTGAAGTGGACAATGACGGTGTTTATTAGAGTTCTCGCACTTTTGGGCAATTAAGTGGTCAATTTTATACCAAAATAGATAATTAAGAAGACGCGGATCAAAGACTCTCATTATTTTGTTACGTTTTTTAGCACTTACGGGTAAATAAAATCTAAATAAACAGTAATAAATAAACAATAAAATTGATACAAGATTTGATAAATTAATTTCAATTTAACTTGTAAAGAAAAATAAATAACGACAATGTTTTATGGATTCTAAGTTCGCCATAATAAAATATACACAAATAAAAAATAATCAGATATGACAAATATAAAATCTATAAAAAAGATCTATAAAAAGTATTCAAATCTGTTTAAAACCTTTTTATGCCTTAATATACTGCAAACAAACTGAAATAAAAAAATACATAAATTATTCTTTTGCATGAAGGTTTGATAACTTTATAGATTTTCTTATTTGAAAAAATGTACAACACAATAATTCGAGAATGAAATAATTTATAAATGAATCAATTGAAATAAATTGGCTGATTTCTTAATAATGATAATAATAATAATAATAATAATAATAATAATAATAATAATAATAATAATAATAATAATAATAATAATAATAATAATAATAATGATAATAATGATAATGATAATTTGAATTATGATGATATACAATAATTATATTAATAAGATGACAATAATAATGTTAATTATAATAATAATGATAAATTATTTAAACATACGTAATTAAAATGCATTATTTAATTTCTGTTGGTCTTAAATATTTGATTAGATAGATAATTCAGTTCATAAGAGATGTACAAAATGCACATGGTGATAAAATATATACAGTCAAAATAAATAATATAAAATAATAGTATATTACTTTCATTACCTCCTTTACATGCATATTTTTCTATTAAACATACTTTTCTATTTCTGTATATGATGTCATCTTTTCTATGACATGAATATATTATTCAAATGTTTATTATAACTTTAATATAATATTCATTGCATACATTCTTTCAAAAAATATTTTGTGAACATATAAACATATCTTTTCACAATGTTAAATGATAATTTTAAACGCACCTAAAGAGTAAATACAATCCACTATCTATGTTACATATAACACACAATTACATGTGAAAAAAAATATTCGGGAGACTTATTTAATTTCCTATTTAGGTTAAAAAATCCTATCTTTAAATTAATGAATTGAATGAATGAATTTCAAGTTTTGTAAAATGGAAAAAAAAATAAATAGATAGACTAATACGAAGATAAATTGATAATTTATTTTATTTGTACTTATGTTTAAGATGAATGCGGAAAAAAACTTGTTCTATACAATAAGTATGGTGGAAATAATATTTCTTTATCAGGAAAATTAAAATATTTGAGTGTAAAAATTAATAATAGCATGTTTTTAAATAAATAAATGCAAACCAATCAGGCATTAGATAAATGAATGCAAATAGAAGTGTTATAACACCATGAAATATAAAATAAGAAATTCAAAATAGACGATAACATCATATTTATTTATATAAATTTGAGTGAAACTTACTTGCTCTTTGTTTCTAGAAACCAAAGAGAAAAAAAAAATCTCTAATAAATTAAAAACCAAAATACATATAAATATTTGAAGTTTTTTGGGAGCGTTTAGAAATGAAGACATAAAAGAAATAAAACATGGTTTTATAAATATATTAAAACTAAATATAAATTGTATGTTCTTTTGTGCTAAAATAACATAACTAAACATAGTTTTGATATGAACATTGAATAAATTAATTCACATATCAAATGCGCATGCGCTTGGAATTAGAAGAAAGTTGAATATCCATTCTCTTAAAAAAAAGAACTCGAAATATTGAGGTAACTTCATAAGCACATAAGCATTCGGATGGCTTCAGTTTCAAATGTCATACGTATTGAATTAATAATTGAATTTTTAATAAAATATTTTTTCCTTATAAAAGAATATGACTTGTTGAAATTATAAAAGCATGACTTTTTGACTTATTTCCTTTCAGTATTACTATTATTTTATTACGAAAGTTTTGTATTGCATACTGCAGATAAAATGATAATAATTAATCTAAATAACTCAAATCAAAATATTCAGACTAGAAATTTGTTATTATAGAAATAAAAATAAAGATACAAACGTATCATGTGTAAAAGTATATCATATAAGTAGCTAAAAATAATAAAAGCACTGAAAAACATTGCACACGTTGCTATGCATACATGGTATTATTCTAAATAATATTAACAACCAAGTGTACTAAGTTGACTTATAAATACATGCATTAATATAAATACACAATGTATAAACAAACCAATTTGTTACAAAAATACATTTTGGAAATAAAACAAAATTTGACTCATGAACCATCATGTTTCTTTTACCTAATCCTTTTGGCAATTGGAAATTAATGATGTATTCAACATATTCTAACATTCAAAACATTTCAATGCTTGTGCGTTCTCAGTCATGCGAATATAATGTTACATTAAACACTATGCATATTTATACATGTGCCAATAAAAATATTTTCAAAGTTATCCTTACTTATTTCACGACAAAACAAAATACATCACTTATTTTGATAAATCATATAGGGACCCATCATTCATTTTCCCCCGACGTTTCTTCAACTCCGTCGCAAAAATGCAAAAATTTTAATAGGCAAAACAAACATCTGATATGCCATCGTGAATCAAGCTTGTCTGCTCATGAATTTAATTGTTACACCTGTAAAATAAACATTTAATGTGCAACATTTGAGACAGGTTTTCTTGTCTGAATGTTTCATTTTTAGAAGGAAAACTAGATTATAAATTATGCATCATATCAACTATATATTCAAGAAGAAATCATTTTGGATTGATACAATTTATTCAACATTAGATTTTAACTGATTTTGTTTTTTCGTTCTTTCAGCGGAAATTACTTATGAACAGAAAAGAACACGGCAAACTTATACGAGGTACCAAACGTTGGAACTAGAAAAAGAATTTCATTACAACCGATATCTGACACGTCGCAGACGAATCGAAATTGCTCATATGTTAGGACTTACTGAACGACAAATAAAAATTTGGTTTCAAAACAGAAGGATGAAATGGAAAAAGGAAAATAATATTCCGAAATTGACCGGACCTGATCGGTCAAAACCGGAAAACGATTCAGACAGACCCCGTGATATAACGTCATCACTGATACCGGATATAGATGACGGCACTTCCTGTTCACCTTGAAACAAATGCTGTTTACCTGTTGACAATTTACGAAGTATTCAGTGTTTTTGGAATTACTTACAATCTACAAACTGCTTTAAAGGAAAGAAACTTAACAGTGTTAGACGTGAAGAGTACCGGAAATAGACGAAGTCTCTCACGTGAAATTAGCGGAAAGTACCGAAGGCTTACTCGTACAATATCGTCAGGTTGACTATTGCGCGACATCGCACATCTTTGAGATTGCGAAAATTCCGAGAGAACTGTAGCTACCTACAAGTGATCGTATTGGAAAACAACATGCTACATGCTTCCAATGTTTTTTGGATGATGCATAGGACTGCTCCGGGAGTAGATAAACAAACGCTTTCCATGATATGGGATATAAATGGTGTAATGACGATGTTGTCTCTGAAAATATAAACAGCTCAGGGTATGATAAAATTGAACTAAATAGACTTGTACATTTTCGAAATCATGAATATAGTGAATTTGTTATTGTATTTAGTGTATAATGTGATTAAGAATGGGGGATAACAGTATTCCATCCGCCATGTTTTATTGTGCACAAATCAGTTTTAGGTGATTAGTGAAAACAACGGAGAAATCCAAATGTCTTATCCTCTATGATCGTGCAACCGTTATGTAATTGTACTGTAATTTGAATCGTTTTAGTGTAACTTTTTAGTTTTTACAAAAACATGTAATAACTAAAATAAAAACCAGCACAATTTGAATCCAATCCAGTGGTAGGCACGTTTTATGAATAAATGTTGAAATTGCTGTAACTTGTAATAGTTAGCATACACTCTATGAAATAATGAAGCATTTTGAAATCATGGGTAAATTTTTTAAAATGTATCTGTTCTTTGTTTCATTTATTTACTTACAAATGACACATTTTAGTACATTGAATGTTCTTGAATAAAACACCCGACTGTCTAAAACAACAACAACAACAACAACAGTACCACCAATATAGTAATCTTTTCAAAATAATATTTTATTAAAAAAACTAAAATGCAAAATAAATTGAAACTTTTTCAAATATTTACAAACTAAACTGTATAATTTATATACTATAACTACATTTGCATCATTGTATTTATCAGTTGCAAAATAAAATGAAATAAAATATAATAGAATATTGTAATGAATAAATAAATAAATAGCTAAAGACATATTTATACCGCAAATGTCGCTTTGACATTTAACATATTTCAAATGTACGATTTGACATTTAATCTTCAATTAAAATGCACTGTCATGCTGCAGTATGTTTTGGCACGACGAATCTAAAATAATATAAAAATATATCCTCTAAGGTATTTTACATAAAAAAATGCAAAATGCGCAAACTATACGTTTCGTTTTCTTCAAATAATAACTTTCCTCATATTGGATTACATTATTAAGTTGTTAAGACTATTGACTTTATATTATTTATGTTACTTATTCATTTTAAAATTATAGATATCAACGTAATCTTTGAATCTTTTACAAATTCAAACAAACTACAGATTTTTTAGAAATACTATGGAGTTAGATAGTTCCAATAATTAAAATTCAATATCGATTTAAAATATTACGAATTACGCTATTTTACTTGTAATTGTATATTCACTTTGAGAATGATAATTTTGACACAAAATGTAAATATAATTTCTTTTGAAAAAGAACAAAAACTTGTAAATTTTATTCTAAAGTTCGATGTGATAGTTGAGATGTTCAAAGTACGTTTCAAACTTAATCTTGAATCCTTGGACATATCAAAAAATAACAACAATAAAATGACTTGATCATCGTCTTAATTTCTTGTGCCTTCATGGAAGACATATACGACCAGGAAAAAAGTCATATTTAAATTGCAACCGATAAAGTATCAATGAAACTTGTATCTTTTTTTCTAGATACCCATTAAAGGAAGCTATTTGGCTTGCCAGATGATCTTCTGATAAAAATGCTTTGTTTTATCCCATATAAAATGTACGGAAGTTGGAAATTATATAATGAAAATATTGATATTTCCGGTTTGACTAAGGAAGCAAAGTATAATGTTCAACAAGCATGTTTTTTTCCAGGTAAAAAAGTTTTTAAGATGCGTTAAAGTTACACTATTTCTCAAATGTCTAAAATTGGCCTTGTTTTATTATGAGAAAAACTGAATCTGATATCCGACCAGAATCTTGTTCCGTTTAAAATACGGAAACAGAGTTTATCTGATAGCGTATTAGTTACCTTATGTTTTAAACAAATGGAAATTATATTCGTATCTCAAAAACGTAAACAGAATTCATACAAAGCCTTTTCTGTGTTATCTTTTAAATACGAAAATTGATTAACGAGCAGATATTCTTACATTTCACATTCAGAAACGAGATGCATTTTTTTGTACTACAGCTTACTTTGGTAGCTATTATTAGTAGCATTAGTACGAAATATAATTCTACTTATCAATATCAATTTTACTACTATTATAATAAATTATGATTTTTTAAAACTGATTGTTAGAGACAAAATTGGCGAAACATTGCTATATAATTAAAATATTGTGAAACATATATCTTAACAATTGAAAAAGGGATATTGACATTATGAGATAAATAACAAAATGTTAACATCAAAAAGAAAGAAAACTTGGCCAATGATAAGGTATATATCAATATGAAATACGATAACAAAAAGTATATCATTATTTTGATCCTGTTAAATAAATTCAGTTTAACTGGAGCTACATACAAAATCTTAATGCACCAACTGTTAATGTATATCATTTATTGGGGAATATATAAGTCATGTTTTTACATTTACATTATATATACATAAAGAAATTCATAGACACAAAAAAGAAAGACAACATTTTATTCAAATTACATCCATGAAATCAATACTGAAATGTTTTGCTTTTAAAATGATCACTGCCTATATAAATTTACTGCGTCGGTTTTGACAGTTTTATATACACAAAGACATGTATCTTTCACATGCTGAATAATAAAGAATAGAAAACTTTAAATTTCATTTAATTTAATGCCGATATATAGAAATAAAAAATTGACCATTTAAAACGATGCATTATCTTTTTTGTTTGTTAATGCACATACATATTTTTGTTTAAAACACTGCCCTGTGAAAACGGTTGCTAAAGTAATTTACCATACGAGGCATTATTTCAATTATTATTTCTCAAATATACATATTTCAATCTTTAAGTAGAATGTCAATATAGTATATTGTAAAGTATTTGCGTAGCATTTGTGCATTTTTATTCCATTGTAAGTGTTTCTATTCTATTTTCTAACTGGAAAACGGACATATTGGAAGTACTATTATAGTACTTAAATTAAAACATATTATATCAGTCAATTGAAACATATAACTTTTCATTTTTTTGTAAATACTTAAAGTGTAATTCCATGTTTGAAGCAAACATGTAAGCAACTAAGTAAAAATTATCATATTATGATAATTAAAAATTATGCAAATATTCATAAAAATAGTAGACTAATTTGTGTTTTCATTGTTTAAACTGACACAATAAACAAACACAATACACTATTTTACATCTGTGCAATTTTGACTGAACGTTAATTTTATAATATTTATAATAGCATCTTTGTCATTCTTACTCTATTTAATTAAAACACACCGAATGTTTTATTCAAAGGCAAGCATTGAGTCATGATTACACAACTTTTTCATTTGGACAACTTTTTCTATAGTGGAATATTTAAAATCTTTTAAAATTCAGTTGACTATGTTTAATAGAACAATAGGTGTTTGCAAAGGCGCAATTACTAGACCCTTAACATTTATGTGCATCGCTAGTCTTGGTTATAAAAGTTTAGTATTCGTGTAAAAACTATATTTAACAACTACAGGTATGAGTAAATTGCTTTTTTCAGTAAAGATACATTTTTTTCAATCATGAAGGCAATATTATTTTCAAAACAATGTTGTTAAATACTTATATTTCTACAACTCACTGATTGAGTACATAAAACATTGAAAAATTATTATGTATTATGTAAAATAAAACTGAATACTTTATTTAGAACATTAAAGGCTTTTTTTCTTGATATATTTCAGTTTTCGGCAGAAATGGTATTTTTACCTTGATAACATTTTACATACTTGTAACATACTATTTTCCTTATATTAAAACAAGTAACTTGCTTCGTTCTCATTTTTTTATTACAGAACTGATTTTTTTCTTTTATTCTCCTAACAGTTTAAACATCTAAATATACATTTTTTTGCATTTTACAAAAACAAAGCATTCAAAGTCAGGTACATTAGTTTTTTCATATTTCATTTGCCTAGCAATTCTTTTTTCTGTAATTTTTAACATTGTTGTTTAGGTTTGCAACATTATATACACGTTGTATTCTCTTTAGATATTTTTATTTTATGGAATCAGTTTTAAGGATTCTCAACCGAGTGGAAAATAATATTACAGTAACATTACAATGACCTGTTAATATTATTTCAAAATCTGAACAATTGACTTTAACTTTAGATATATTCTTTTAAAAAGAAGTTGCGCTGTTACATGATTTTCAAAAATTGATGATATGTACTGGTACTGGGATATTTGCATTTGCGGGTGCATGAATTTAAGTTTGAATGCTGTCTTAATGAATGCTAATTTATTGTAAGAACTTATCATGGATTTATTTTCTTGTTATATTTCGTTGGTTTAGTTCTAGAAAGTTGTATGCATGTTATGTGAAATGATGACCCTGTAATCTATTAGTAAACATTGTTGAAATAAAGCAAAAAAATGAAATAAAAATATATTTTTGTTTGTTTTTGTTTAATGCAAATGAAATGTTAAAATTTAAATCAATACTAGAGTGCTTTAATCTTGAATATTTGGATGTTAGATCGCAAACAAAATCATAGTGTTACAACATCAAGGCTTCCAACATAAATGTCTGTTTGTTGTACTTCCGAATCGATGACAATGGACAATTGTATGAATGATTAATAAATCAGTCATGATGTAACTCCAGCTTCAAAATAAACTGTTTCATCTTAAGTACATCAAAATCAACTATTTTCTTTGCATTTTAAGGATATCAAAATCCACTGTGTCAATTTTATTTTAAAGACATCAATGCCGACTAAGTCCATTGTATTTTTCAAGACATTAAAAGTAACCGTGTCTGTTACATTTTAAAGACAACCAAAATGCTACAAGACTAAAAAGGAAGTTTTGATAAAAAAATAAAATAGCGGAATGGACAGATATAAAGATGGCGAAGCATTAAACTGTCGATTTTGTAATTGTACTTACTGAAACATGTATTAAAGTGAGTATAAATAATTTTAACGGAAGGAAATGCCACTGATATTAAATTGTGAAACAATTGAAGACCAAAATGTATGATTGAAATTAATACTTTTTATTGAATATGGTAGTACTACTAAAAGTATTCTTTTGCAGTTATGACGTAAGCATTACAACTCGTCAAATAACATTTACGAGATACATTTTAACCAGACAAAACTACACAACATTTTGAGGATGATCAAGTATATATTCAAATGAATAATTTCATTCACACTGCAACATTACTTTATTGCCATGCTAATCTTAGCAATAAAGATGCAGTTGTATGTTAAAGCACATTAAAATCCATTAAATGAAGTTAAGCATATTTTCTCAGATTTTAACCAAAATTGCAATTAAGGTCATAGTTAGTTGCTCTGACTCAAATTATATATACGAAATAGAAAAATAGAACTTAATCAAATTGGAAATTACTACACACCAAATATCATTATGCCACATTTTTAAAAGAAAGTTATTTTTTAAAAGTCGTTATCCCGCAGTAGGAAATGATGAAATCATGTCAATTTAACCTTGAGTGAGGAATAACTCTGTTTTCATTTTGTCAAAGCTTATTTTTTCAGAATGGAAGGTTTGAATGCCATAAATAAGTTATGCTGATAGTAATTAGTATCAAACACGACAAACAAATTGTCCAGTGATGGTGGATCGTGTGGTGTATATGCTCATTGGATGCCGCCCTTTCTTGGTGATCTTTTTTCATGTATGGGAAGTAGGCAGTAGCAGTAGCAGCAGTAGCAAACGTGAAGTTAGCAGTAGCAGTAGCACAGCAGTAGCAGTAGCAAAATTATAAAACGTGAAGTTGGCAGTAGCAGTAGCTCAGCAGTAGCAGTAGCAAAATTATAAACGTGAAGTTGGCAGTAGCAGTAGCTCAGCAGTAGCAGTAGCAAATTTATAAAACGTGAAGTTGGCAGTAGCAGTAGGACAGCAGTAGCAGTAGCAAAATTATAAAACGTGAAGTTGGCAGTAGCAGTAGGACAGCAGTAGCAGTAGCAAAATTATAAAACGTGAAGTTGGCAGTAGCAGTAGCTCAGCAGTAGCAGTAGCAAAATTATAAAACGTGAAGTTGGCAGTAGCAGTAGCTCAGCAGTAGCAGTAGCAAATTTATAAAACGTGAAATTGGCAGTAGCAGTAGCTCAGCAGTAGCAGTAGCAAATTTATAAAACGTGAAATTGGCAGTAGCAGTAGGACAGCAGTAGCAGTAAGCAAATTTATAAAACGTGAAATTGGCAGTAGCAGTAGGACAGCAGTAGCAGTAGCAAAATTATAAAACGTGAAATTGGCAGTAGCAGTAGCTCAGCAGTAGCAGTAGCAAAAAATTATAAAACGTGAAGTTGGCAGTAGCAGTAAGCTCAGCAGTAGCAGTAGCAAAAATTATAAAACGTGAAATGGCCAGTAGCAGTAGGACAGCAGTAGCAGTAGCAAAATTTATAAAACGTGAAATTGGCAGTAGCAGTAGCTCAGCAGTAGCAGTAGCAAAATTATAAAACGTGAAGTTGGCAGTAGCAGTAGCTCAGCAGTAGCAGTAGCAAAAATTATAAAAACGTGAAGTTGGCAGTAGCAGTAGCTCAGCAGTAGCAGTAGCAAATTTATAAAACGTGAAGTTGGCAGTAGCAGTAGCTCAGCAGTAGCAGTAGCAAAATTATAAAACGTGAAGTTGGCAGTAACAGTAGCTCAGCAGTAGCAGTAGCAAATTTATAAAACGTGAAGTTGGCAGTAGCAGTAGCTCAGCAGTAGCAGTAGCAAAATTATAAAACGTGAAGTTGGCAGTAGCAGTAGCTCAGCAGTAGCAGTAGCAAAATTATAAAACGTGAAATTTAGCAGTAGCAAAATTATAAACGTGAAGTTGGCAGTAGCAGTAGCTCAGCAGTAGCAGTAGCAAAAATTATAAAACGTGAAGTTGGCAGTAGCAGTAGCTCAGCAGT